AATCCCAAATTGAAAACACCAAGGAATATTGCAGCCAAATTCCAGAATTATTAGGTCAAGGAGAAAATCCTGCAAGCAGCCAGAAAGAAACAATTCAAATATTGTGGAACCAGTCAGGATTATGCAGGACTTACAGTTTCTACATTAAAAGACAGAAGGGCTTGGAATATGATATTCTGTAAGGCAAAGAAGCTTGGATTACAACCAAGGATCAACTACCTAGCAAAACTGAGCATAATTTTCAGGGGAAGAGATTGGACATTCAATGAAATACGGGATTTCCAGACTTTTCTGATGAAAAGATCAGAGCTCAATGGAAAATTTGATCTTCAAATACAAGACTCAAGAGAAGAATAAAAAGATAAACAGGAAAGTGGAAAAAAGACATGTTATTGAATAAGGGTAAACTGTTTATACCCCTACATGGGAAGATGATACTTAAAACTCTAGAGAACGATATCTTTATTACAACATTTAGAAGGGATATACATAGATATAGGGGGTGGGTTTAAGTGGACTTTGATGTGATTATAAAAAACCAAATGAAGAGGTGAAAAGGAACTGTAATGGGAGAAGAGGAAAGGAGGAAGCAGAAAAGGGTAAATTACATCACCATTAAGAGGCACAAAGACATAGTACAGTAGAGGGAAAGAAGGGAGGGAGAACAGCATTGTTTGAACTTTACTTTCATTGGATTTGGCTCAAGGAGGAAATGACATACTCAGGTATAGAAATTTAACTTGCCCTACAGGCAGTAGGAGGGGAAAGGAGAAAGAAAAGGGAAGGGGGCTGATAGAAGGAAGGGCAGATTGAGGGAGGTGGTGGTCAAAAGCAAAACTCTAATTAGGAGGGAACGGGACAAAAGGAGAAGGAAAAGCATAAATGGGGGAGGAAAATAGGATGGAGAGAAAGACACAGATAGTAATCATAACTATAAACGTGAATGAGATGAACTCTCCCATAAAACAGAAACAGATAGCAGAATGGAATAAAAACCATAATCCTATAATATGTTGTTTATAAGAAACACATTTGAAACAGAGGGTTACATACAGGGTAAAGGTAAAAGGCTGGAGTAGAATATATTATGCTTCAGCTGAAGTAAAAAAACAGAGGCAG